CTCTCTGTATTACTTATTCCAAATGCATGCAAATTTACAATTATATTTATCAAACTTCCAGTCAATGGTTCTTACAAAGAATTATATTCCTTATCTCATTTAGGTCTGTTTAGCAAAAGATGACTTGATGGTTAATATAATATGGCACTTAAAAGTGTAGACTTTGAGGGGTGCCTGGGTGGCTCAGTCATTAAGTGTCTGCCTCCGGTTCAGGTCATGATCCCAGGGTCCTGGGATCGAGCCCTGCATCGGGCTCCCTGCTCCGCAGGAAGCCTGCTTCTCCCTCTCCCACTCCCCCTGCTTGTGTTCTCTCTCTTGCTGTGTCTCTCTCTGTCAAATAAATAAAAAATCTTTAAAAAAAAAAGTGTAGACTTTGAGCCTGACAAACTGGACTTGAATCCTGGCTCTACCACTTCTTAGTTGGCCGAGTTACTGAGCCTCTCGTGATTTTATCCTCATTAAATGAAAGAGGAGAATAATAGTAAATACCTCACAGAGTTTTAAGGATTATATGAGATAGAGCATGTAAATCACTTTCTCAGTGCTTGATATATAGGAAATGCTGGAAAATATTAGCGGCTGTGATGAAGAAGATGATTAGCATTCCCATCATCATCACTATTATTACTTCTGTAATTAGAGGTACAAGATGAGCACTTCATCATCTTCTCTTGGCCTAGATTCTAATTGCTATTGGCTATCTTGGCTTGTCTTTAATAAGGGGCACTTTGATTTTTCACATCATTGTTTTACTTAAAATAAGGGCAATTTTATCAATTGGAGCTAAATGATCACTGCTAATGAATGTATTATAATAAGTTATTGGAATTAATGACAGTAGATTTGTGATCAAATTTTTCTGGGTACAAAATAAGAGAGAAGAAAGAACAAACTGAAACTAAATGACATACTATCTATACTCCAACAATACACCTCTGAAATAGAAAATTATTTTTGGTTGCAGACCTCCAGATTTTCTCTACCCAAACAGCATACACACGTGAGTTCTCTTTTCTATCACTGAAGTCCATGCGATGTAGTGGAAAAAGCACTGGTCAGGGTGATGAACAGTTCTAGATTCCAGATCCAGCCCTGTCGTAGGCACTGTGATCTCAGGCCATGTCTTTTAGCTTCTCTAGCCACCTGTTTCCTTGTGTGTAATTTGTGAGGTTTGAATTAGATTAGTGATTCTCAGAGAGTGGTCCCTGGACCAGCAGCACCAGCTTTACCTAGGTACTTGCCAGGAAAGTACCCTCTCAGACCCCACCTGGATCTACTGGTTTAGAGGCTCCAAGGGTAGGGATGGCCAGTCTTTGTTTTAATAAGCCCTCTGGCTGCACTGGATACACACTAAAATTTGAGAATCATGGCCCTGGATTAAATTTTCGTCTAAATCTTAGATTGTTGGACCCCGCTCCCAGAGTTTCTGATTCATAGGTCTGGGGTGGAGCCTGATAATTTGCTTTTATGACATTCTCAGGCATTGCTGATATTACTGGTCAGGGCTCTGAAGACTACTAGGCTAGATCAACTCTAAGCTCTATTCCAACTCTGATTCTATCAGCACTTTTGCTTTCACAATGTCTTCTGCCCCCCTTCTAATTTACTTTATCCCTCAATTTATTGAAACTGCCTCTGAATTAATAGTTAGCATTGAAAGTTTCTAACCTATCGTGCTTTGTAGATGGCGATGGTTGGAAGGAACTTCCCTAAATTCTTTTTTTTTTTTAAGATTTTATTTATTTATTTGACAGAGAGAGACACAGCGAGAGAGGGAACACAAACAGGGGGAGTAGAAGAGGGAGAAGCAGGCCTCCTGCTGAGCAGGGAGCATGATGCGGGGCTCAATCCCAGGACCCCGGGATCATGACCTGAGCCGAAGGCAGACGCTTAATGACTGAGCCACCCAGGTGCCCCAGGAACTTCCCTAAATTCTTACAACTTATGTTAATATGAAACACCTACAGCTCTTTGGCATTGAAGGTGGCCCTAGACGGTTAACTTAGTTATCTCATGTACATAGCAAAAGAAATATCTTCAGACACCAAGGTTCAAGAATCAAGGTCTGATGCTTAATTGCCATTGATGCGTTTAGGTTGTCTCATGATCTGAAGAGCTTGGGCATCAATGTAGAAGTAAAATTATGTTTTCATCCTAAGATGCTGTTTAATGAATAACACTAAAGTTCCCAAATTCCATCGTCACATGATCCTTGTAATCCCACCTCTTCTTTTTCATGATTTTCTAGATACTTGGGATGGGATAATGCTCTGTGAGGCCTGGTGTCTGCTAAGAACATGACAAGCCTCTGCCTGTCAAACTGAATTATTTAGTTGGTTCATGTTTTCTTTTTTGAAGTAGAGTTATGGGTAAGAGCCACTATTTCTTGTTTATTCTTTTCAGTAATTTGATAATTTTCTAGAATTGAATATGCCAACTATTTTAAGAACAAAGCAAGGCCCTAACATCTCCCAAGTGCCTATTATGTGCCAATCGCTGTGCTGCAAGTGTTACTTTTCTGGTCTATTTAGTCCTCACAATAACCACGTAAGGTAGTATCATTAGCCTTTTACATGAAGACATAGACTCAGACTACAGAAAGGTGACGTAACCGTTCACGATCACACAGCCAAGGAAATGGCAGTGCATAGATTTAAGATCTGAGATGTTTGACAGCAAAGCCTTTGTAGGCATAGTAGATTCTGAACAAATGTGTGGTGAACGAATGAATAAAGGAATGACTACATCACATTATCTTCCTAATGCTGAGTTTGAAAAAACTCAGAATCATAAAGTTGAAAAGGCTCTATAGGTCATTACCTAGTTCAGGTTTTAGTTATGCTTACCCTCTAAATTATCCCTACCATATGGGTATACGGCCTTTACTCGACCACCTCTAAGGAAATGACACACATGACCTCTTTAATCAGAGTGCTTGTTGAATAACTCATTTTTAGAAAATTCTTCTTTGCATTAAGCTTCCCTAAAATCTCTTTCTTCGGAGTCTTGTTCCACCCTTTTAAACCTCTCAGACTTAATCTGCTTCTTTTGCCATATGAAGATAACCCTGTATCTTCTCTCTCCCAAGCTAAATAGCCCCCTTTTTTTCAGCTATTTCTCAAGAACGTAAGAATAACTTAATAAATGTTCATTAAAAAGAAGGAAAGACTAAATACAATGCCTAGACTTCTCATTTTCTTGTTCTCCTTTAGAGCATGAAGCATCTGTGCTGTTCTAGGTACATGCTAGGCACCATATTTCTAGAAGTAAATGAAATGATTTCCTTTGATCTACTCTTGCACTGAACAACAGTCACCTACAAAAAAGACTTTTATTTTCTGACATAGAACAGTGCCCTCATCTTTGACATCTCAGGTTTGCATCAGGTCACCGCAAGCTGGAGTTGAACAGCAAACCTAGTGCATTTCTTCAGGGTTAAAGGCAAGACCTGGGCACGAGGGGATCAGCTCCAATTTACGCAGGCTAAGTTTGTCCTCTAATGTACAAGACTCGGGCTTACCTCAGCTAAAATGGTAGAAATAGCTGCCCAAAGCTAGTTTCTTTCACGCCCCACTGGCAAGGTAGTAATTGCACAAAGACCTTTTTATTATGAGTTGATTTTCCTGAGAAATGAATTCAGAAAAATACTGTAAAGTGTTTATTTTTTGCTTGCCCTTTATTAACCCACATTTCTCTAGGCTTTCCCTAGAGAAAAACTGTTGGTAAATGAAACCTCTTAGACCCACACAGAAGCATTTTTGCACCATGTCCCTGGCTGTGGAGGGACCAGGGACAGGACAAGGCGAGTTGGCGCTATGTAAACAGGGTCATCAGCCAGTATCCGAATTTTGCCTAAAGAGAAGATTTACGAATTTAAACAGGAGAAAGGTTTGGGTTTGGTAGAATTACTGGTAAATGTTTTTTATCTTAAACAGGATATAATGCAGCTTTTTTTTTTTTTTTAAATATGAGTAAAAAGCCCAAAGACCCATTTTGAATTTAAAGATCACTTCTGTTAGGACATCCTAGTTTTGATCTTTAAATAACAAAAGTCCTGTAGTTCAGCCTATAAACTCATGCACTAAAAGCCAGGACAAAACCTTCCTGTGATGCTCTCCTGGAATCAGGTTAGCATGCATAGAGTGAAAAAGGGAGCTAGGAAATTAAAATGTGATTTCACAGGCATGATTTTGTCATAGCTCTTATTTTCTTTATATAGAATACAAATACTGATATAGAGAGAAGATTTTTCTATTTTGCATTTTTGTGCTCTTTGATACATTTATTGAGGTCAAATGAAATTTGATATAGTAGGATTTATTACGAAATGCTTTCTGAATACAACTCCATAATTACTGAGCCACATGGTAGTGCATAAAGCTGTAAAACTGCTAAGCCAGACAAGCAATTTATATGTTACATCGAGGTGTGTATGGCAAAGAATATTAGTTTAATTGGAAGCCAAGGTGTAGTAGCCTTAAATCTGAAGAACTATATGTTTAACATAATGCGGTAAGGCTTTGAAATAAGACACTAAACTGGGGAGATACCGCTTTGGGAATATATAAAAGTTAGACATTATTTTCTGACCAAGGATACTAAACACCGTTTTCCCAATAAAGGGCAGAATGCAAAGCAGGTGAAAGGACAAAACCTTTCAACATTGCACGGTGTACGAAGCAAACTTACTTCTTCCACCAGTTGTTTTGTTAAAAAAAAAAAGGAAAAGGAAAAGAGTCAAGATAAAAGAAGACCATTCCCCACAGTTTGGTGAAGGCAGGGATGAGGCAAATTTGCAAGGAGGTTGTGTCCTTGGAGTGCTAATGGGATCTAAGAACAGCGACTGGGTACCTTTCGCCTGCGTTTTCTCAGGGAGCAGATTTGGAATGAGGTCAGAAGTGGGTGGCTGTTTGGGTACCAGCACAGCCGCAGGAGTGAAAAACAAATACTTCTTGGCATACATTTGCTCTCTGTCTGATCATAGGCTCTCTTCTGTTTAGCAGGTTCAGGGTCACATGCCTCCGCTCATGATCCCAATTTTTCCACATGACCAGCGGACCCTGGCAGCTGCCGCTGCCGCCCAGCAGGGCTTCCTCTTCCCCCCTGGAATAACATACAAACCAGGTAAGTAGAGAGGAATTTAACATTCTTTTGGAAATGCTAAGATCCCCATGTTTTTGCTTAGTAGTCACAGCAAACACAGGCGCATACAAAGGAGCTACGAATAAAACGGCCCATAAAAGCGGATTTTCACGTAAAATTTGAATTGGGAAGTTAATTGGGAAGGGGGGGCACGTTCAAAAACTCACTGGTTGCTAAAAACTTTTGCTTTCTCTTTTTCCACCTGGTTTGTTCTGAATTCACAGATAGAGTGCTAGTTTCCCTGGGGACCACAAATTTTTGTCAGCGCTCTCTCATAACTTGACTGTGAATAATTGTCTTTGGTTAAAGACCCTTTCCTCCTCCTCTGGGAACTTTCATGCTCTGGGACAGTGGTCACATACACTATAAAATGTTACTGTTGTTTGTTGTCTGATTTCTCCTGGAAGAAAAGTTAAAACGGGGCTGACTTAATTAGCTCACCGCTAATAGGTAAGATTCCTTTGGATTTGAGTTTAAATAATGAAGCATTCAGTAGTATTTTCTCATTCATCTTTGAACCTCAGAAACAGGTCACATAACCTTGCAGTGAAATATGTTTTGAGATGATTTAGCAAATGTTATGATTTTTCTTTATTCCTCTGAGTTTACTGGACTCCTGGGGAATTCAATTAGGGACATAATGGTTTGAAGCTTCTTTCAGAGCCTCCTTGTAAACAGGGCTTTAAATGTTTAAAGATAGGTTGCCAAAGGAATCCAATGTAAGAAGATAGTCAAGTAAATAAAGTCAACCTTAATTTCATTTGTGCATTCTTTGTAAGTGACCTCAGCTCAGAAGTAGTGACCTTGTTCTACTCATTAATAATTTCCGTGTCAAGTTCTTTTTAACATATTAACCTGATTATATTAACCACCAAATCTGAGTGCAACAAATCTGAGTGCAGCAGTTTCTTTGTGTAGAGGGTTTATAAAGTGAACAAAGGCATTTTAATGTGCTTAAAGTAATAATAAAATATAAATCACTTTACTAAAATCCTCAGCAAGGAAGCTTACTTACTAAGTAGCATAAAAACAAACCTAGTGAATTTTAACATCTATTTTAATTGCTTAATGCTATCGATTACTCTTTTGCATTTGGTAGATTACCACCTTCCTTGTGAGGAAAGGTAGGATGCCTATCAGAACTCACAGGTTTCAAGGAATAGAGATGTTAAGGAATTGGCTCATTTTAAGGACTGACTTTGAAAATTCCTCAGATACAAATTAGTCAGACCTGGTTTTACCAACGATTTGGGGATACCTGAATGAAAGGAAGTTTTATTGTTTAAACTGTCAGAATTTGATTTTTCTAGAGCAGGATTTTTAGAGCAAGGTATATTCCCTATGAAATTGATATTCATATTAAGGACAGGAGTGTATTTTGTCAGAGACTATGTTTCTGTCAGTGCAGTGGTTCGGTCCTTCCCTGATCTCTCTAAGTAGTTCTGAACTATTTCTCCGTCTTGACTTCCTTTGGAACATTGATGTAAGCTAAATTTACTGGTTTACCCTGAATCTGAGTTGTCATTCCTATACCAGTCTTAGAAACCTTTTCATCTGTAGAAACCCTTTCTTTAATTTTAGTGCTTCTAAGTTTAAAATGCTTCACATTTAAAAAATTGGGTATGAGCCTTTTCTACTGAGCATAACATTGACATAGTCGACATGTTACTTACCTAATTTTGTTAAAACAATAATGCCATTTTTCATGGGTGAATGTATTTTTGTATAGTTAATGAATTTGGACCACTTTTTAAAAATTCTTCTCACACGGCATCGATGAGACTATAGTAAGTAACCAAGAAGAATATGGAGATTGGGAGAGTGCTGTGCAGAAGTCTTATCTCCGTCGAACAACCTATGTGCAGCACCCTGTAGTGTTCAGGGGTAGCAGAATTGTGTGTGACTATGGTGGCTAAAACCTGTTGCTTAAGGCATGACGTGGATTTGGGCATGTAGCACAATTTTTAATCACAAGCAAGGCTGATAAAAATAAGGTATTTTCTGGTGACCCCTAAGTTACGTCAGAGGATTTAATTAACCAGAACTCTGAATTCTTAATATTTTGGTTGATCTGGGTTTTATCGTATATACAAATTATATTTAAAAGGATTAAAGTTGTTTGTTCTTATGCAATTAGTAGAGAAATTACATACTGGGGCAACTTAATCTATGCAGTGTTTTTGTCCTTCACGTGAACTGGGGGAGTAGAGTCGTGTTGGATTGGAGCCTGGACCAGGAAAACTGTTTGCTCCAAACTGAGCTATGATAATTTCACTTGAAATACGTGTGAAACAATGCTTAAATTTTTAGAAGAGAGTAGTTCTGTCACATTTGAAAGACATGAAATGGTGGCATAATTTTATATTTTGGTCCCTTGGACAAAAGGATGAGCAATCACTCTCTTGGTCTTTATAAATTACAAAATAAATGGCTCTCTTTTTGCTCTTTTCCACCTTCCCATAACCTAAAACAATCCCACAATGTTGGTGCCTTCAGCTGATTGAACAATTGTCTTGATTTCTAGAAAGCATGGGCTATCTGGGGGTGATGTTCACTGTCAAAGTTGACTGTTTCTGAATCCATTATTAGGATAGTCTAAACAAATGTACTTAGGGCTATGGACCTTCTTCCCTTCAGATAATTTTACACATTGCTGTGGGCATATCAGGGTCCTGGTGTGCAGCAAACACCAAACTTCGGTGCGTTATTGAGAAGCCATGTGGCCTACAGGGATTGTGCAGTTTCAGGGGGAATATCTATCAGATTAATATCTGTAGACATAGCTTTATTGAGTTTTAATGCTTAATTTTTTTAAACAGGTTATATAATTAGATACATTATTCTAGAAAAGCTCATCAGGGCCCAGAACATACACCACAGAATTTTGGTTGCTTTGCTCTTTCACATCATGAAACAGAGATGCAGCAATCCGGGGCAAGATGAATGCATTTAAGCACCTATATTTGAGAAAATTAAAAGATTAAGCCTATTTCATAGCTGGCAATGTGTACATCAGACAGGACCGAATTGGCTATAAAATAAAAATAGTGGATAGCCTCCTTCACACGCCAGGGATGGTGCAGCTGACCCATGGACTTTGTGTAGTTTGGATTTTTAAAATAATTGCTGCTGGAGCAGCCCCCTTGGCTTCCAAGGAGATTCTGGGAATAGGATCTCTGCCTGCCCCTGGCTTTCCACCCACTTGTTATTATAATATAATAGCTAAAGCCTCCTGAATAAGTTGCTCTGTGCCAAACACTGTGCTAAATATTTTACATGGATTATTTTATTTAATTCTTACTTGAACATGTCATTTAGCCTTGCTGAGCCTCACATTTTTGTCATCTAAAAAATATGTCCGCTGCTCAGTATGGGTGTGAAGATTGAATTTGTTACAATGTATGTAAGTTCTTTGAAAATTCTAAGGCACTAGGTTTGGAGGTAAAGTCTGACTATGAAACTAAGTAAATTTAACAATATTAAACTACATCTTTATCCATTAGAAACGTCCAAAAACTGAGCATTGGACTGAGATGTATTATCCCTCTGCCTAATGACCAAAAACAATTTTACAAGTATACCTAGTGCTTCTTTTAGAAAAAGTTCTGGTGAAATATATATACACACACACACACACACACACACACACACACACACACACATACATATACATAATACTTAATATTTTAACCATTTATAAAAGTACAATTCAGTGACATTAATACATTTGCACTGTTGTGTAAGCATCACCACTATCTATACCCAAAACTTTTAATCATCTACAATGGAAACTTTGTGTCCATTAAATGATAACTCTCCCTGTCCCCTAGTAACCTCTATTCTATTATCTTTCTCTATGAATTTGCCTGTTCTAGATACTTCATGTAAGTGAAATCATACAATATTTGTTTTTCTATGTCTGGCTTATTTCATTAAGCATAATGTTTTCAAGGTCCATCCATATTGCAATATGGATCAAAAGTTCATTCTTTTTTATGGCTGAATAATATCCCATTGTGTATATACGTCTATGTCTGTGTGTATATGTGTGGTGTGTCTATATATATATACATATATATATAATATATATATTATATGGATAGATAGATAATTTGTTTATCCATTCATCTATTGATGGACACTTGGGTTGTTTCCACATTTTGGTCATTGTGAATAATGCTGCTGTGAACATTGATATACAAATATCTGAGTCCTTGCTTTCACTTCTTTTGTATATTTATGTAGGAGTAGAATTGTTGGGTCATATAGTAGTTGTGTTTAACTCCCTGAGAAACTGCCAAACTGTTTTCCACAGAGGCTGTGCCTTTATACTCCCACCAGCAATGCAAGAGTTCCAGTCTCTTCACATCCTCACCAACACTTGTTATTTTCCAACTTCTACAAAAAGATTATAGCCATCCTAGTAGATGTGAACTAGTATCTCATTGTGGCTTTGATTTTCATTTCCCTAATGATTAATAATTTTGAGCATCTTTTCATGTGCTTATTAGAAATTTGTATATCTTTCTCAGAGAAATTACTTTGCTTAGTGTTTTTTTTTATTATGTTCAGTTTTTTAATTAAGCTGTTTGCTTTTTGTTATTGAATTTCAGGAGTTCTTTATATATTCTAGATATTAATCCCTTATTAGATATATGATTTGCAAATATTTCCTTCTATTCTTAGGTTGGCTTTTCACATACTTGGTAGTATCTTTTGATGCACAAAAGTTTTTAATTTTGAAGCACTCCAATTTATCTTTTTTCTTCTTTTGGCCTGTGCTTTTGCTATCATATCCTTGCAATTGTTTCTAAATACAAAGATTTACTCCTGTATTTTCTTCTTAGAGTTTTATAGTGTTAGTACTTAAGTTTAGGTCTTTGATCCTTTTGAGTTAATTTTTATATGTTATTTAAAGTAAGAGTTCAACTTCATTCTTTTGCATGTGCATATCCAGTTTTCCCAGCACTATTTGTTGAAAA